AGTCTCACCATGTCGCCCAGGCTGGTGCGACCCCTGGGCTCAAGTGATTCTCCTGCCTCAGCCTCCCTGGTGTCTGGGACTACAGGTGCAAGCCATGCACTGACTTGCAGTTGCTATTTTGTAAATACCTTGTGTGCAGTGCAGGTCTAGGGCTTTATATGCTTGATCTCATTTGATCTTCACAACATCCCCGTGACCGTGTAGATACTGTTGTGATCTCTATTCTACAAAGAAGTGAGTCTTAGTGAAATCTGGTAGTTTACTTAAGGCCTCTAACTTCTAAATTGGAGCAGAGATTTGAACTGAGCTTTCTCTGCACCCAGATCCTTAGCCTGTGTTAAGAGAGAGAGAGAGAGAGAGAGAGAGAGAGAGAGAGAGAGTGTGTGTGTGTGTGTGTGTGTGTGTGTGTGTGTGTGTGTGTGTGTTGGAGGCTCACTTTGTCTCCCAGGCTGGAGTGCAGTGGCACGATCATGCTACCGCAGCCTTGACCTCCTGGACTCAAGTTAACCTTCCACCTCAGCCTCCTGAGTAGCTGGGACTATAGGTGTGTGCCACCATGACTGGTTAATTTTTTAAAAAAATTATTGTAAAGACAAGGTCTTACCAAGTTGCCCTGGTGGGTCTTGAACCCCTGAACTCAGGCAGTCCTCTTGTCTTGGCTTCCCAAAGTGCTGGGTTTACAGACGTGAGCCACCACACCCAGCCTAACATTTTATTTTCATGTCACTATTTCCCCAACTCTCCAGGACTGAACTTTTGCCTTCCTGTGTCCCCCAAAGTACTGGGCACATGCTCATGAGATACTTATATTTGTTTGGTTAGTGGAGCTGGGTTTCTGTTCCTGGGCATCTAAACACAACCCTGCATGCAAAGTTTCAAAAATGCATTAGTTGTAAGAATGCTACAAATATTTATAATTCTAACCATAACAACTAACATATGTCCCTAGAGAAATGGGCTCTCTCTATGTTGTCCGGGCTTGTCTTGAACTTCTGACTTCAACTGATTCTCCCACCTTTCCCTCCTGAGCAGCTGGGATTGCAGGCTCATATCACCTCACCCAGCTATGCTTATGTATCTCTCTGCATTTATAATATATATCTCTCCTTACAGAGCATGTTTACACACTTAATTAGATTTTAAGAGATTACAAAACCGTACCAATTAATAGGGCGCACGCGATCATAGTCCTCATTTTGTGGAGAGATTCAGAAAGGTTGATTTGCCCAAGATCCTACAGTTAGTGGAGAAAAGAAATCCTACTTTGGATTCCTGTTCCTTTTCTTTTTGAGCTGGGGTCTCATTCCGTCGCCCAGGCTGGAGTGCAGGGGCATGATCACGGCTCACTGGAGCCTCGACCTCCGGGCTCCGGCGGCCCTTCCGCCTCAGCCTCCCGAATAGCTGGGACTACAGGCACCCGGCTGATTTGGGTTCCTTTTCTCTGCACGGCAAGCGCCTTCGTGTTGAAAAAGGACCCTGTGAGCTGCCGGGACCGCACGGTGTTGAGGGTGCTGCCATATTCGCTGGCAGCAGGGCATGGTGGCATAGCCAAGGCAGTGAAGCGGAGGGAAGCAGGCAGCACGTGGGGGCGTGACTGGAACACGGACGCCGACGCCTCGGCCGGGCGCGCCCCGCCCCAGCCAGGCCCCGAGGCATGTGCAGGGGCGAAGGCGGGAAGGCGCTTGTTGCTGCCTGCAGGCTCGCTCCACCCCGCTGCTGCGGCCCTTCCGCGGGGAGTGCTTGCCCACCGCCTCCCTCTCCACTCCAGTCCTGCTGGCTTTGGTGAGACTGGCTCAGGAGTCCTGCCCTCCTGCCTGGCTCTGTCGTGCTCACTTAGGCCGCGGACTCGGCCTTTTTTGTTTTGAGTGGAGTCTCCCTCCGTCGCCCAGACTGGAGTGCGGCGGCGCTCTCGGCCGCAGCCTCGACCCGCCGGCTCCGGCGATCCTTCCGAGTAGCCGGAGTTAGGGGCGCGCGCTGCCGCGCCCGGCTGATTTTTGGTTTATCGTAGAGATGAGGGCTCACCAGGTTGCCCAGGCAGGTCTCGAGCCTGCGGGCTCAGGCCGTCCACTCACCTCGGCCTCCCAAGGCGCGGGATTGCAGGCTGAGCCAGGGAGCCCAACTGGACTCGTCTTTGTCACTGTGCTTCCTGCGGTGTCCTAGAAGAGCCTCTCACTAGACAGTGAACTCCCTGGGCTCAGGGACCACAGTTTCTTCTCTTTGGTTTCCCAGAGTCAACTTGACTGTGCCTGGTTGTTGAGTGACTAGCTGACTATTAGCATGCATGTCTGGGGCAGGGGGAGTGGGCAGTTTCTGCATTAGCAAGGGCTTTCCTGGGGAAACATGAAGTTTGAGACCTCTGCAAGTGATGCTTTATCAAATGGCAAACATTAAATGGTAGGAGAAACACCTGGGTTGGCTTTTTTTTTTTGTGTTGCCCAGACTGGAGTGCAGTGGCATGCTCACAGCCACCGCAGCCTCAGTCTGCTGGGTTCAGGTGATCTTTCTGCCTTCCTTCCAAGTAGCTGGAACTATGGGCATGCGCCACCTTGCTAGGCTAATTTTTTTTTTTTGATTTATTGTAGGGGTGAGGTCTCACCAAATTACTTGGGCTTGTCTTGAACCCGTAAGCTCAGGCAATCCTCTCACCTCAGCCTCCCAAAGTGCTGGGATTATAGGTGTGAGCCACCACACCCGGCTTGGATTTTCTGTTTTGAATCATGTCAAGCATCCAGTTTGCTTTCAATTCTCCTGTAGTTGATTTTATTTCCATTTAAGTTTTTCAGATGGAAAATAATTTTTTAATAGTGAAAACTCAAAACTCAAAATGGCTCCAGAGATAATCAGGTCTGTCCTTGGGACTGTCTTCCTGCGGTCTGGTCTTCCTTGACAGTGCATGGAGTCTTTTTGGCTTCAGCGTTCTCTCTGGTGCTCACGACTCTCGAGTTCATCTTTCTGGCTTGTGTCCCTTCTGAACTTGGACCGGTCCTTTGTAACTGCTGGCCAGACATGGGGAAGCGCAGCTGCCTTGGGCAGTCGGCGTTGTGAGGCTGGTGCCTTCGCTTCCAGAGGTGCTCTGTCTGCATTTTCTGTGCTGGTCCCTGGCAACTCGAGTCATATCGGTTGTAAGCCCTGGTGTTATTCTGTGCTGCCCTCAGTGAACTACCCACCACTTGCAAGTTCCGTGAACATTTGGTTTTCCAGAGCCCTGGGAGTCATGCCTCCTCACCTGCTTTCCGGTAGCTGCTTCATTCTTGATTGGTTCATCCCTCGACTGTTAACTGCATCTTACCTTTGCGCCAGGCACTTGGAACACAGCGGTGGCCAACAGACAGAAGACCCCAGGAAGAGCCACGAGAGACACCCAATGCACAATTTAACACATAGGTGAAATATTCTGTGTGTTCCAAGAGCACACGTGTTCTAGGAAAGTGAGCAGGCACTCAAGAGTGCCAGGGGTGGAGAGCAAGGTAGGACGGGTGGGCCTCCTGCCAACATCGAGAGGAAGGAGGCGAGGAGCCCAGCGGAACTCTCGGCAGGACCAATCCCGGCCGCGGGAGCAGCCAGTGCAAAGGCTCTGAGGCAGGCGGAGGGCGGGCTCGGCATCGGGGGGCGGGCGACGTGGCCGCGGGGGCTGGGGCGGAGGAGCGAGGAGAGGCGAGTCCGAAAGGAAGGAGGCCAGGCAGGTGGACGGCAGGCCCACGCGGCCGCTCGCTCTGCGTGTGTGCCCTGCCGTTAAGCGGCCTGAGGAGAGCGGTGTGGGAGACCACCCCGGACGGTCTCCTCGGGCAGCTCGGCTGAGAATGCCTGGGGAGTGGGGCAGTGAGAGTGGACGTCGATGCTTCTTGCCCGGCTGGGGCAGTGGCCTTGAATGGAGCACCCTACTGTCTACCTCGGCCAGCTTCTCACGCCTCAGCGTCCTGCTCTCTGTCGTGGCTGCGAATCTCCAGGGCGCTCTCCAGGAGCAGCAGAGTTACTCTCCAGGAGCAACCCGTCTTGTCTGGCTTCCCCTGCCGCCTTCTGCCCCTCCCTCGCCCTGGGCACTGCCCTCCTCCCCTGCCTTTGCTGGGTGTCCTCTCACTTGCTGCCCAGAAACCCCACCTCTCACACTTGGCCCCGGTGGCACTCGAGTCACTCCGAGCCGTCGCTCCTGTGCCGCCCTTCCCGTGCCCCTCAGTGCAGCGGAAGGGGCCTCACTCGACTTCTGAGATGGTTCCGGGCAGCCGGCTTTTCCCACCCTGTCTTGCAGATTGAAGCGCTTGTGAAGGACATGCAGAGCCCGGAGACGGGGGTCCGAATGCAGAGCCAGAGAGTCCTGGTCACCAGCGTTCCTCACGCCATGACAGGTGAGGGGGCAGCAGACCCCGCAAGCGGGGTGGCGAGCTGTGATCCACAGGCCAAACTCAGCCTTGGCCTGTGTTCCCGAACACATCCACCTCCGCTGTGTTTGGGTACTGTTAAAGGCTGCTTTTGTAAGACAGCAGCAGAGTTCAGATACACAGTTGTGCAGAGAGTGCGTTGTGGCCCGCAGAGCTGAAATATTTACCATCTGGCCCTTGGACTACAGTTTTCTTCTGTGGAAGGTGTCAGAAAAGAAGGAGAAGAGGACTTCGTTGGCCACTTTTTTTTTTGAGTTGGAGTCTCACTCTGTTGCCCAGGTTGGAGTGCAGTGGCATCCTCACGGCCACCGCAGCCTCGACCTGCCCAGCTCAGGCGATCCTCCTGCCTCAACCTTCCAAGTGGCTGGAACTACAGGCACGCGCCACCACACCCAGCTAGTTTTTTGATTTACTGTAGAGATGAGGTCTCGCCTTGTTGCCCAGGCTGTTCTCGAACCCGTGGGCTCAGGCAATCAATCCTCTTACCTCAGCCACCCAAAGTGCTGGGAATAATCCCACAGGCATGAGCCGCCACACTGGTCAGTTGTTCACTTCTTGAAGTCATTCCGCTAGGAGATTGAGAAAGCTTGTTTTTTTGTTTGCTTGTTTCTTTTTCTCTTTTTTTAAGTCAGGGGCCTCACTCTGTTGCCTTGGCTGGAGTGCAGCGGCACCATCACAGCTCACTGCAACCGCCACCACCTGGGCTCAGGTGATCCTTCCACCTCCGCCTCCCAAGTAGCTGGGACTACAGGTGCACACCGTCATGCCCAGCTAATTTTTTTTTTGGTAGAGATGAGGACTTGCTATGTTGCCCAGACTGTCCTCGAACTCCTGGGCTCAAGTGTGAGACCCCACGCCTGGACGGCTTGTTTTGCTTTAATGAAATCAGATAGCCGGCATAAAAATACTATTCGGCAGAAGAAAATACTGGCCTTCATCTTGATCCGCTTTTTCCTGCCCTCTTAGTCCCATTCGGCCCCGCTTGCCACCCTGTGGGGATGGTGCTGCTATCCCCTCTCTCTGGGTGGGGTAGAGCGCCCACAGAGCATCGTTTGGGAATATTGGCAAGAGGGGCTGGATGCCAAGATGTGGAAGCATTCTGGTCAGTGTGCTGCCCGTGGACTCTGACCTTGGTTTTGTAAGAGTGTTTGCCGTCAGGCTCAAGGCCGGCAAGAGCACATGGCTTTGCACAGCACAAGCCAGGGCCTCACGCCGTGCGTGCCGGTCCTGAGCCCTGCCTCCCACCCCGTCCTCGGCCTGACTATTGAGCTTTCCCTCAAGGTGCCCTGGACTCTGCAAAGACAGCTGGCTGGCAGCCTCCGCTTCCCCCTTCTGACTGCTGGGAAGAAAGGGCGCCCCCACTGGCAATGTGTCCCTCAGGCTTCCCTGCACGCAAGCAGCGGAAGACTGACTCTTGTCTGAGCGAAAGGGGAATGAATCGGGATGTGACAGGGATGTGACAGGGCGGCTCCCGGAAGACAGGAAGCACTGACAAGCCAGTCTTAGGGCAGAGCTGGTGGGCAGACTTCAGGGTGCCTCTGCGCCCCATCACTTAAGATGCGGCTGGGCCTTTCCTCCTGAAGGTGCCCCGGGCTTCCCGCCCCTCCCTGCCTCTGGTTGTCATTAATTCGGGCCCAAATCCCCGACTGGACTGGGGGCCCTTCAAGAGGAAGCATCTTGCCTTGTTGGTCTGGGTAACCCCAGGGCTTAACACAGCTGTGTTCGTAAGAGATGGTCACAGGCTTGTGAGTGCATGCCCCGGCCCTGTTCTGGCCTTGAGCAGAGAGCGCTGGATTGACTCCTTCAGTTCGGGTGCCTTTTTCTAGCTGCGTAGCCCCGGCCTAAGTTTTCTCATTTCCCAGGCAACAGCATCGTTGCCTGTCTCAGGAAATGCGTGCAGGAATTAGACGCGAGAGCTGAGCAGTGCTCGGCCACAGCAGACAGTGGATGGGTGGCCATGGCTAGCGCTTTCCTGAGCTGTGTGGGTAGATATGCCCATAGCCTTTTTGCAGGCAGCCCATGGAGCCACGGAGAGGTTCAGCCACTCGTTCTGGTGTCACTCAGTTCGTTCACAAGCGAGTGCGGACTTGAACCCAGCAATGTGGCCGGCGTCTGCCCCTCGTCTGCTGCTGTGTGTGCGGGCCGCTTCCTCCCCTGCACGCGGGTGCACTTGGCTCCTGGGCTTGGGCAAGGCCGCCCACTTGCCGTGTTTTGCCTCACTCCTCCTACGCGAGAGGATCCCAACTGCCGCAGAGCCAGAACACAGGGAGAAGCCCGCCCTGCTGCTTCAGCACCGAGGCAAGCAAAACACCACCAGCTCCTCAGACGCCAGGTGGCCCCGGACCTCCTGGGGGCAAAGGGGCTGAGGTGGGGCCTGAGCAGCCTACCATGCTGTCAGCACAGACCACATGGGACAGCTGCTGGTGGCACCGTGATCTTGTAGGGTTTATTTCAGGAAGCAGCCGAGTGGAGGAGAACACCCTTGACTCCCCAGTGCAGGGAGCTAATCAGGCTGATGTCTGCCTGGGCCTGTCTCCATGTGCACACCTTTGTGTAGTGTTTAAAGAGAGACTTGGTGTGGAAAGTCTTCACCCCGGTCCTGGGATTTTAAGTGTATTAAGAATTTTGCTTGGGAATAGCCGATGAGGGCTGGCTAAGAGCCACAGAGGGAGGACCCATCGAAAGCCACAGCCTTGTTCCTGTGGGCGTGACAGAGATGATGGCTGCACACTCATGCCCTGGGGTGTGGGCACCAAGGGCACAGGTTGTCCACACCCAGCCTTATCTGTGGCAGGTAATGTGTGATCGGGCCATAAGAGGAAATGTCCCTGTCCCTGCTTCCTTGGCGTGTGTTGTGGGCCAGTCCCATGCAGGCAGCAGCCCCACTCGGCCTTTGAAAAGCAGGTTAAGGTTGCTGGGAAACATGGTCACCGGTGTTGGTGCAGTGGTGTCTGTATCAGGGCGCTTGGGTCCAGGCCCTTGCCTTTCTTTGGGGTACCACCGCCCTTGGCCTCCAAGGCTCCTCTTCTGCGTATGAGGCCAGAGGACCCCGGCTAAGGAGAGGGCACAGAGCCTCCATGGATGCTGCAGCGGCTCCAGGCGTGGCCGCGGGACTTGGCTTCCCGGGCCCTTAGATGAATTGGAATCCGGGGGGGTGCACCTTCGCTCCTGACCTTGGCCCTGGCCTGCCTGTTCTTCACACCAGTCCACCGGTCTTCACTCGGCCTTGTTCCCGGGCCGTCCCCGGAGACCTGGAGGATCCAGGGCATGAGCACACAGGGGCCCCCCTTCTGTCATCCAGAGTCGCGCATCAACCCACAGAGTGTTGCTGCAACAGGCCCCATCCTCCTACTTGGACAAAAGCGCCTTCACAGTGACACAACGGCCGGGTTTGAATCTCGGATTTCCTGACTCCTCAGAGTCCTGCTTGGAGCTGGAGGGGCAGCCGCGTCAGCCCCGGCCCCCTGCCCCCCCTTCCCATCCCGGACTCCAGCCAGAGCCCCACAGATGGCTGGTGTTGCTTTCTTCCCCCTCGGTGTTGGGACATAAGCCGTTGACTGTCTAGTTCGTACTTGAGAGTACACACACAAACTATCGCCCGGGAAAACAGCAAGAAAGGCCAAGACTGGGTGTGTGTGCGGAGGGCAGGGGTGTGGCTAAGCTGCAAGTGTGCTGGTGTCAGGTCCCAGGTGGCCTCGAGTTACAGACTCAGAGTTTGGGCTGAACGTAATGGGGCAGGGGAGGTTCCCTGAAGATCCCAGGCCGAAGAGGCACGGGGTGTCGGCTGAGCGGGAGGACCAGTCAGGCGCCAGCATGGGGTCCTAGGATGTGTCCGGTGATCATGACGATGACTGAGAGTGTCTCTGTTTGCAGGGGGCGATGTTCTGAACTGGATCAGTGAGCATCTCTGGATCTCCAGCGTGGGTGAGAGCTTGTGCAATGCGCAGTTATCTGGGATGCCCGGTGAACAGCACCTGGAGAAACTGGGTGAAGGCTTAGCCAGTGTTCCCCAGAAATTAACGTTTAATTGGAGAGACATGCCCTTCGTATGTAAAACCACCAGAGTCACAATCAAAGGCAGGACAATGTGGGGACACAAGAGCTATTTCATACAAGACATTGATGGCACATAATTAACAGGGAGGACTCCTTGGAAGGGAAGCTGTTCCCATCTGACTCGAAAGGTGTGACACCCATGAATTGGTGGAGGGGGTTTCCGAGGGTCTTCCCAAAAGGCGGAGGCAAGAGCGGAGGTGGAAGGTGGGTGGGTGACGGTGGAGGGGCGGAAGGACACATGGTGGTGTGCAGATTCCAAGCTGATCTGGGAGACAGGCCTAGGCAGCCCAGGCAATTTTCCGAGCATGGCGGTGTGGATGATAATGCTACTGAAGCCAGGGTTTCTGGCAGCAGTTGGAAGGGTGAGTTGGAGCAGAAATCGTCTGGGGAGCAAACTCCATACTGGGACACAGGCTGTTCGTACAAGGCACAGAAACTGGGTGCAGTCTGTGATGAAGAGGTGGACCCCGGGGGGCCGCCCACACCGTGGAAGTTAGCTGTGCCGTGGATGAGCCCATGGGCAGGGCCTGCAGGACCAGGGGGGTGCTTGATTCTCTTCTGGAGGGTGGGAAGATGTCTGCTTTCCCTCGTGCTCCTGAGACAGAACCGGAAGGCTCTCCTTTAATGGATGCAAATCCAGAAACAATGCTGGAGGGGGTGGGAGTTATAGTGGGGTGCGAAGGCGGGAACGACCTGGGTGCAGAGCCGAGCTTGGCACAGGAGTTGGCGGCAAGCACGGGGCCCCTCACTCTTGGAGTAAGAAGGCATCTGTGGGTGCCACAGACATGCTGTTTCCCACTCCTGTGACCCTGTCCAGACCCAAAGGGCCCGTAGATGCTTCTCCCAGGCTTCCCTGACTGTCATCCCCAAGCCACCTGCCGCAGATACCTGGGGGGCCTGTGAATGCTCAGGATGGCAGGTTCCTGCCGGATTTCCCCAGTTGTCATTCCTGGGGAGAGGGCCTGGGAAGTCCTCCCTCTAGGGTGCCCTCCGGCTGAGGCTTGTCCACAGTCACGTTCAGGGACCACTGTCCTCGCGCCTCAGATGTGGCGCCGTTAGGATGGGCACTTCCCCGGAAGCGCCGGGGGCAGCGGTGGCTGGGCAGGGAGCGGCTGCCTCAGCCGTGCTCTTGATGTGGTGTCTGAACTGCTTCTTCCCAGAGGCACAGAACCTGGGCAACTTTATTGTCAAGTACGGCTACATTTACCCACTGCAAGACCCCAAGAATCTGGTTCTCAAGCCTGATGGCAGTCTCTACCGATTTCAGGTGAGTCTTTCCCTTGACCTTGGATGTTGATCTTATTTGAACAGGTGGTTGGTTCCATATTCTCACAGATCAGGACATTGGAAATGGTGAGGGGGGAGGACTGAGGTAGTTTTATCTTTAGTCCCAGGACTGGGGCTCTGGGGAGTCCCAGCCGTTTTCAAGTGTGGCTTCCCTGGTTTCTTGCAGACGCCGTATTTCTGGCCCACCCAGCAGTGGCCAGCTGAAGACACAGATTATGGTAGGTGCTGCACCTGCCCATGCCTTGGCGAGTGCTAGCAAACTGCTTGAGTACGTGCTGCGTTTGGTGACATTTGTCTTGCTGTCGTTGTGACCTTTGTGTCAGCTCGCATCTGCGCTGGGTGTGCTTCGGGGGCGAGGGACCGGGTGCGCCGAGCATGCCCCCCGTTCTGGCATAGCAGCCTCGAGCCAGGGAGGGGGTGGGGTTTGGATGTGTGACGATGATGGGAAATGCCATTGCTTTCCTTTCCAGCCATCTATCTGGCCAAGCGGAACATCAAGAAGAAAGGGGTTTTGGAAGAGTATGAAAAGGTACAGCGGAGTTTTCCAGTAGAGGCTGTGGCCGCCGGGTGGAGCAGCGTCTTGAGCTACTTCTCCCTCTTCCCCATGTAACTGCGTTCGTGGGCATCCTTGTTGTCCCTCTAGCCAGCCACCCATCTCTCATTTGTTAGAAGCAGTTTGCGGAAGTACATTCTTCTCCTTGTCTAACTTCAGTTTCTCCTGCTGCAAGTTAAGCCCTTGCCTCAGTGCTACTGGGCACACAGCGGCTACTCTTCCATTTGCTGTCCCCAATGTGACTTAATTAGTATGTGGGACAGTAGACAGTCGTTGGTTAACAGATTCGACCTTGAGTTTTTTTTTTTTTGAGTTGGAGTCTCACTGTGCTGCCCAGGCTAGAGTGCCGTGCACACTCACGGCCACCCCAGTGTCGACTTGCTAGCGTCTGGCAACCCTTCCGCCTCAGCCTTCCAAGTAGCTAGAACTACAGGCGCGCGCTACCGTTCACAGCTAACTTTTTGATTTATTGTAGAGATGAGGTCTCGCCAAGTTGCCCAGGCTGTTCTTGACAAACTTGAGTTTATCACGGGAAAACAGATGTGCTGTATAGACTTTTGCTTTAGGCTGGGTGAATCAGATTTCCCAAAGAGCACATGTGAACCCTCAAAAGGCTGGCCTTTTGCGGGAGAGGACAACCATGTTGCTGTTTTTATTCTTGCAAACGTGCTTGTAGAAAGGACAGCACCCTAGCAGTGTCAAGGCTTATCTTTGTGAATTTGTGATACTCCGTTGACGAATACTGCGTGTCCGTTTCTTCCCCATCTGCAATCCTTTCTCCCTAGTCAGACTTGGGGACATGTTTATTTTTAAAAAATCAAATGAAACCAAGAGAGACAGGTTTCTTGCGAAGGCTTTTGTGAATTCAGTGCTGGCCCTTGAGTGAGCACCATCGTAAGGCTGGGTCTGGAGTCTCCCCGGTCTGAGCCTATGGCCTCGGTGCCTTATGGATTGTGGCCTTGCACACCTGGCGTGTGTCGTGGGTCTCACAGTTCTCATTTTGTTTTCCTTCTCTAGGAAAATTACAGTTTCTTGAACCAAAAAATAAACTACAAGTGGGATTTTGTCATTATGCAGGCCAAAGAGCAGTACAGGTGAGTGAGAAGAGATCACACGCCACCCGGTGCCCCTCCTCTCTCTTCCGTCTCCGTTCCCTTCCATTAGAACAAGCCTTTCTGGGGGCTTGTGTGTGCCAGCACTGGGCTGGCCTGGGGGTAACAGGACCCGGTCTGAGGCGCAGGCAGGGGAGGAAGTGGCCACACCGCAGGGGTCTGCGGCAGGAGCTGGAGCTGGGTGGCTGCGCGGGAAGTGTCTAGGTGAAGGGCAGGATGGATGGAGCAGGGAGGGGGCGGGAGGAGCGGCTTCCGAGCACTCCCAGCAGAGCCTGGAGGCGGCACCGGTACTGGACGGCAACTCTGTGTGCTGTGAAGGTTGCAGAACCTGGGACCGCAGAGGGAGCAAGGGCTTAACCGGAGGTGACCGTGCAGAGCCTGAGACTACAGACGGTAGTAGGAGGTGAACCGGAGGTGAGAGTGCAGAGCCTGAGACTGCAGAGGGCAGCAAGGGGTTCAGTGGAGGTCGTGGAGAGCAGACCATGAGGGCTTTGTGCTGAGGCCACCAGGCACCGCCGAGAGAGCTTTAAGCCCGGCACATACAGTCATGAGACTTGTGCGCTGGAACCTCCCACCGCTGGCTGGCGTTTGCCTGTTGTGCACATTCGACCTGGAGCTGGAAGTCCCCCGAGGGCTGTCTTGTCAAGGCGAGCCAGAGGTAATGCCGCGTGGCAAGTGGTGGGAGAGTGATCGCTCGGCCTAGGGGACGGACGGCCCCAATCCTCAGGGCTGGAAACCACAGGTACGCTTCTGGCTTGTGACCCATGTCCGCCACGAGTCAGCTGGGGTCCCCAGCACCTTTCCCTCACCCTGGGAATCCCGCAGAAGGAGCAGCGCCATCGGGCTTTGGGCTGTAGCAGCCTGTGCCTGTCAGAGCAACACCCTGTCACTTGGGCTTGTGAGTCACCAGGCAGAGTGGGGCCCGTGGTTTCACTCAACATCAAAGGGCGGTGAGTGGGACAGACAAGCCTGGGAATGGGAGAACCAGGAGCGTCTGGTGACCAGGGCCGGTGGTCACCAGCATGAACGATTCCCCCTAGCCCAGCCTGCCTGCCCTCACAAGCCTGGACCCCGGAAGGTCTGGGCTGGACCGTGTGGTGAGATCCAGCCTAGGAACTGGGGTAGTGAGGAGTGCTGTCAGTTGGCAGAGCTGGTTCCAGATAATGACGTTTCTTGGGGAAGAATGGCGTTACTGCCCCCTCGGGGGGGAAACATGTTCTTCGGGCTTGGATTCACATAGCACGTCAGTGAGAGAGCTGCCAGGGCACGTCAGCCACCAACGTGGCTGCCTGGGCACATGTGAGACAAAGCTGTGCGAGAATGGCATTCACTTATGGTTGCCTTCAGGGCTTTCCTTGGTGAGTTCTTGGAGGTTGTCTCATTTTATGTTGGTGTGGGAAAAATGTTCAGAGCACATCAGTTATTGTCAGCCTTCACCTCTGCAAATGGGAAACTGTGACTTAGAGAGGCTAAAATCATGCGACCAAGGTCATTTGGTGAGCTAGTGGCAGAGCTTGAGCTAGTGTTACTTAATTCCACTCAGTGCACCGGTTTTGCGTGCCCAGCGGGTTCCAGCTCTGGGTGGGACCCCAGGGTCACAGAGTCAGACAGGCCCGCCCCCATGGCCCTCAGTGCCCTCCGCCACCTCTCTCCTCTGCGCAGGAAGATCCCAGAGACCGCGGGGCCACAGACCCCGATGTATGCTTCCCAGGGTGCTGTGGGTGCTCTTTTTAAAAAATTTTTTATTTTTTTAGAGTCAGAGTCTCTCTCTGTCGCCCAGACTGGAATGCAGTGGCATGCTCATGGCCACTGCAGCCTCGACCTGCTGGGCTCAGGCAATCCTTCCGCTTTAGCCTTCCAAGTGGCTGGAACTACAGGCGGGCACCACCACACCCAGCTAATTTTTTGACTTATTGTAGAGACGAGCTCTCACCAAGTTGTTCAGGTTGGTCTTGAACCCCTGGACTCAGGCAATCCTCTTGCCTCGACCTTCCAACATGCTGGGATTACAGGCTTGAACCACTGTGCCCAGCCTTCCGTTTTTTTAACGTAAAGATGTAGGGTGCAATTCAGGCTAGGTATACAAGTGCTCATCGTCATCGTACAGGTAAAGTTTGGGCCTCTCTTTGGTCCCCACGTCACCTGGTTTGAGATCAGGTACGCTTATTGATACTGTGTGCTCCCCTCCCTCCCCTGGCAGTGTCCAATCCCCTTCTTATAGTATTATGGTAAATGTTCAGAGTTTGCTTATGAGTGAGAAACTATTGTACTCAGTTCTTTCTTTCTGTGGTAGATTACTGAATATTATAGTCTCTACATCTATCCAAGTTTCTGTGACGTTCATACGTTTGTCCTTTATGACTGCATAAAATTCCATTGTGTATATGTACCACTTTTTTTTTTTTTGAGTTGGAGTCTCACTCTGTCTCCCAGACTGGAGTGCAGTGGCC